TTACCTGTTGCTTAATTTATTTTAGATACAGAATATGGTGACTTTCTCCTTACAACTCATTCCATTTCTGATGCTACTGCTATTGGGATTACGGTTGAGAGCTTAACTGCTTCGTGGTCAATGAGTGTTGAATACACTACTCTACACAATATCTCATTCAATGTTGATAAGGTTCTTTATCCTCCTAAAACTTAGATGTAGTTTTACTATTTTATATAGTCTAATTCATTGTTAGCTGTTGTAGGCCCAGTTGGATCTGGAAAAGTAAAAATAAATAACATGGCTAGTTAGGGTAATCTTTAAATGTTTTTACAGTCCACATTGCTCCAGTGCTTGTTGAAGGAGCTACCAGTTTTAAGTGGTAGAGTATCAGTGAGAGGATCAGTAGCATATGCTAGTCAAGAGGCGTGTGTGTTCTCAACCAGTCTTAGGGAGAATATACTGTTTGGTTTACCATATGAAGAGGAATGGTTTAAGACTGTCGTTTATGCTTGTGCTCTTGAAAAGGTAGCATATTAGCTCAAATAAGGGATTACTATTATTATTATTATTATTATTATTATTATTATTATTATTTATTACTATTATTACTAGGATATATCATTATTGGAGAATGGTGATATGACACTAGTGGGAGAGAGAGGAGTGACACTCAGTGGTGGTCAGAAGGCACGAGTCAATCTAGCAAGAGCTGTCTATAGAAAGGCTGACATATACCTCCTTGACGATCCTTTGAGTGCTGTAGACTCTGCAGTCAGTAGACATATATTTGAAAAGTATATATACATGTATAAGTACTTTTTTGTGATATTTAGAGCTATAATATAATAGATGCGTGTGTGGACTTTTGGCTGAGAAATGTGTGGTGTTAGTGACTCATCAAACACAATACCTGGAGCAGTGTCACTCTGTATTAAGATTAGTAGAGGTTAGTATGACTATGTACCATATTTGCTCGAATAAACGCCCTGCTCAAATAAACGCCCATGACAAATATTTTCTAACTTTAGATACACATATTTGAGCCAGTATATGTACCCTAGCATTTAGATTGTCCCAGATAGTCTAACTGTTGGAGTACTGTTTGGATTGCCAGAAGGTTGCGGGTTCGAATCTAATGTGAGCTTTTTTGTTTTTTTTACTTGAATTTTTCTCTGTTAAGAAATAAACACCCAGTGTTTAATCAAGCAAATACGGTACTTGTATGTATTAACTGTGAATTCATTGGGGTACATTACATTTCATAGGGTAAGGCTGTATCATCACCCATACATGTAAGTGATGAAATTAAAGAAAGAAAAGAGTTAGTAGTCAGTGATGATGATGATGTATCCAATGGGATCCAAGATGCAGAAAGTTAATTCAATATTGATATATTTGTCTATTTTAATGTCGATCTTAGTTGAATTTGCTAATGGAGAATTATTACTAAACAATAATTTACATGAATCCATCAAGGTTAGACTATTAATACACACATGTACTTTAATCTATTGACTGTTACAGGATGAGATTTCTTATTCTAATAATACTCCATCAGAGGAAGAGAGGGCTCATGGGACAGTATCATTGAGGACCTACTATCAATATGGTAAAGCCGGTGGAGGATACATATTCACCCTCTTTGTTTTTGGACTATTTTTTGTGGCGGAGGTTTGTATGAGGAAAATATTAAAGCATTTATCATTGTTAGTGATATAGGGGCTAACACTTGTTGCAGACTGGTGGATTGCTGACTGGTATAATATTTGCATTGATTCAATAATCATTGATATTATAAATAATTATCTATTTTAGGTCAGAATGTACAGTACAGCGTGATCTCAACACATCTACTTGTTTACTAAATACTAATGAAAGGATTCAAGTGTACAGTGGAATGACTGCTAGCTTTATCATACTGTCACTGATTGAAGGAGTTTTGCTCTGTTTTTTGCTTGTAAGATCATCACAAGTTCTTCACAATAGAATGTTCTCTCACGTACTAAGAGCTCCAATAGTCTTTTTTGACACTAACCCAATTGGTGAGAGGTCCCATTTAATTTTATTAAGAATATTATCTTATTACCATAGGTCGTGTATTAAATCGATTTTCTAAAGATGTGGGATTTATGGACGATATTTTAGTGAATAAGCTATACAATTTTATATTTGTGAGTCAATTTTTGCAACATTTTAATGAACATTAATGCTTCTTAGTACACCTCTAGGATACCAGGAATTTTTCTAATTGCGATTGTTGCTAACTATTACCTCATCGTCCTGATGTTGATACTCTCTATTGCTTTTATAGCCATTAGATGGTACTATATTAAGACTGCTAGAGATATAAAGAGACTAGAAGCAATTGGTTAGAATAATGAATAATAATAATAATACTAATAATAATAATATAATAGTTATTATTATTATTATTATTATTGTTATTATTATAGCACGTAGTCCAATCTATTCTCATTTATCAATGACACTCCAAGGACTCTCAACCATTCGTTCTTATTCAATGCAATCAGTGATGATGGAGAGAATGCACCAATATCAGGACACACATACTCAAGCCTGGTATCTCTTCCTAGTCACATCAAGGTAAATAATTATGTTTGTTTTGAGTTATGACTACCTAAAGCAAGTTATGCCAATTATTGCAAGTCAAGTAAGTCCCAAATTCTACTCTACATTGCATTTGCAATGTCATTAATTATGTAAGAAATTATTGTTTACTGGTCTCAATGGTATTTAGGTGGTTTTCAATGCGTCTTGACTGCTTTATCTTTCTCTTCATAACTGCTATTGTCTTGTCATCAATTACTCTTGCACAAAGTAAAGTCAAAATGTACATTTCTCTGATTGTAGTGTTGATGTTATAGTTTTTAATGCTGCCCTTATTTCGTTGTCATTAACATATGCTATTGCATTGATGGATGATTTTGCCTTCTACATGAGATCCAGCACAGAAGTAGAGAACTTGGTAAGATAATACAACATACTTATATACCAGCACCAGTAATTCCCTTATAGATGGTATCCCCAGAGAGGGTTATTGCTTATGGCAGATTAGAAGTTGAGGCATCATTGGAGACTCTTCCTGAGTCTAAGCCACCACCAAACTGGCCTGATAAAGGAAATATTATATTCAATGATATTTGTTATAGTCATTCAGTAGATGGCCCACAAGTGCTGAGTAATATATCATGTCTTGTATCTAGCAGGAATAAAGTATGTAGCTATAATGTTTGGGTGCTTTGAAAAAATTGAATTAGGTCGGTATTGTGGGTAGAACTGGTGCTGGAAAGACATCACTGATATCAGCATTGTTTAGATTAGCTGAACCAACTGGTGGTAGCATTATTATTGATGGAATTAATGCTAATGCACTAGGACTACATGATCTTAGGAAGAATATATCAATTATACCTCAAGTGCGTGCATGCATGTATTTTATTGTAAAAATGTTTCATTATTGTTTTGTAGGATCCAGTATTGTTTGGTGGGCCAATTAGGTACAATCTTGATCCTTTTCAAGTGTACAATGACACTGACGTATGGAGAGCATTAGAACAAGTAAAGATTGCTATAAAATATTTGTAATTCTTTGATGATGCATGTAGGTTCAGTTAAAATCAGTAGTTGAAGGATTGGATGATGGTCTATTGTCAGTCATAACTGAAGGAGGTAGCAACTTTAGTGTTGGTCAGAGACAGCTCTTTTGTCTTGCAAGAGCTCTCCTGAGAAACAATCCAATTTTAGTATTAGATGAAGCTACGGCTAATGTAGACATGAAGTAATGACCAGCTTCATTTCTACTCTATCATTTTATTAATATGTAGAACTGATGGTATCATTCAAGAAGTGATTCGTGAGCAGTTTAGTGAATGCACTGTACTGACTGTTGCCCATCGACTAAACACTGTAATGGACTATGATAAGATCATGGTATGTTACTACATGTATGTTCTTAGTTAAATTTAATTTATTATTAAAATGTGACTTTAAAGGTACTGGATAAAGGAGAATTAGTGGAGTATGATGAACCTCATTTGTTGCTTTGTCAGTCGTCATCTTACCTTGGACAATTAGTTGATCAAACAGGACCAATCAATGCTAAGAAGCTAAGAGACATAGCTCTATTGAATCATCGGCGAAAATGTGTAAATTAATGAGCTATACCCTTTTTAACTGTGCCATGTTTTAGTGTAACTGTATTAATAATATTGGCTTATTTATTCTTGTGTAAACATAAAGCACTTGTGAATCTCACTGGATGGACAAGCAACGAAGTAACAATCTAGTACTTTAACAGATGCTGCAATTATAATGCTAAAATGAAAGTGATTGGAAGCAGAAAAAGGAGCTAGCTGCACTGTACATTGGGTTGCCATGCTGTATTACTATTCCACTGCAGGATTGCAGTGAAATTACACTATTAATACTGGTAGAGTTTTGAAATGATGTTTTCCCTGTGTAAATTTGTTTTTAAGGTATATAGATAATGAGTACATTGTCTTTTTATGGTGAGTACTTAATCTATAGGATTATCAGTGCCTCTAGTAGGTGTGTGTTTGTAAGTGTATATAGTGTCTATGGCAAAATCATCATGTAGTGAAGATGAATAATGTTAAGGTGTCCAAAGGGTGGGGCTGAGAACTAAAGTAAACACTTCACTGCTTTTCCTCTCGTATATAGAAGCGTAGCCCTACTCAGAGTAGCTATGTCTTCACTAGTCGAAGAAATGGAGTCCAAGACTAGCTTGGACGCCGAATGGAAGCGAATACAAGAGAAGACCTTCACGCGTTGGTGCAACGAGCAGCTCAAGTATAGGGAGATAGTGTTGTCGGATCTGGCTGAAGGCCTCTCCAATGGAGTCAATCTCATACACTTGCTCGAGCTTCTCTCCACTAAGCAGCTGGGTAGATACAACAAGAAGCCTCGAGTCCATGCACAAAGGATGGAGAATGTCGATATGGCTCTCAACTTCATCACGAAAACGGAGAAAATCAGGCTTGTCAACATAGGTGAGGAAGATAAAATCATGATTTTTTTGTAGTTTTGTTGTTTATAATAATAAGCATCAGCATAGATGCAGCAATAAAGTCCATTATGGGGAATATAAAAGCAACTCTTATTGTGATTTGTGAATGAGGTGTGAGTCCAGGTGTGTATGCAAATTCTGATTGAGTAGATCTCTACTACACCTGCTCTGTACCCATGCACACAATTGCTATTGGCTCAATGTATTTGCTTAATGTAGCACGTTATACTATTCTGCTACTAAGTTAAATCTAGTTGCATGACTTATAAACTTAATTATCAGCAGCAGGGTGAACGTCAAGTGCAGCATTAGTGCATCCTTAGATCAAAATAGTACGATTTTCAATCCTTAGTGAGCTTTAAAGTGGATTTAAGCTGGGTTCAGAATATTTGCATTGCGACCGGAAGTGCCATATAACGCAATGAGAAACGCAAGAATAGAGCCGAATTCTATTCTTGCATTTCCCCATTGCGTTATATAGCACTCCCGGTCGCAATGCAAATATTCTGAACCCAGCTTTACACTGCAAAGTTAACGTAAGGTAAGGCCATACGTTAAGACAGGAAGTGCTGTATAAACCAATGGCAAACACCTACGCAACATAAGAGTTGAAATTATCTCTACTCTTATGTTATGTAAACATTGGCCATTGGTTTATACAGCACTTCCTGTTGTGTAAAATTGTGCAGTGTAAATCCACCTTAATTCATGCTACTATGATACTCTGTCTGTGTAGGGAGTGGAGACATAGTTGGGGGCAACAAAAAGCTCATACTGGGTCTAATTTGGACGCTTATACTTCACTATCAGATTAACCTTGGCCTTGGGCTGAATGATAAATCAAAGAACGAGAAAATGTCGGCAAAGAAGGCACTCCTTGGATACATAAATGTAAGAGCTTTTATGATTATAGAATATTTTATTTATATATAAACATGATTAATTTGCATGTCTATTTTATTTACAATATGCATATCTAAGAGCCTTCTTTTCCCATGCCAATTCCTCACATTCAGTTTGTGTATATGTTACGGCAACTGGATAGTGTCTGTTTGAATAAGAATTTATGCTATTAATCATTATCTTGTTGTTTTTCCTTATAGTCAAAAATACCGGAGAAAAATATCAAAGATTTCACTTCTGACTGGAATGACGGTACAGCAGTAGCTGCTCTGGTGGACGGGATTGCTCCTGGACTGTGTCCAGAGGCCGAGACAATGGATCCAAAAGATGCTCTAGCAAATGCACAGCACGCAATGAAGCTAGCTGAAGACTGGCTGAGTGTCCCAATGGTATGTGTGTGTACATTATATGTGTGTGTATATTTACTCTGTGTGTGTGTGTGGTTTATCTGTATATGCATGGATGTGAGTGGGGTATTCAAAATTTAAAATATTTAATGTTTATTTCTTTGGTTGTATTCACTATAGAATTAAGGAATAATGTAAACAAAGGGACAAAATTGTCAATATTTATATTTTAATATCTATATTATAATTATAATTGATATATTTAATATTATTTAATATATATTTACTATATTTAATATTATAATTGTCAATATCAATATTTATAATTTCCTCTCTCTCCCTCAGGTATTGGGCCCGGAAGACATGGTCAATCCTAACGTTGACGAGTTGAGTATGATGACTTACCTCTCTCAGTTTCCAGACGCAAAGCTCAAACCAGGCGCCCCGATAAAAATCAAGAGCTCCCCAAACAAAGTGAAACTGACCGGCCCCGGGATAGAAGGAGACGGGCTCAAGACGGGTCTACCTGCCGTGTTCCATGCCGATGCAACGACTGCCGGATCGGGAAAACTAGAAGCTAGCGTGGACGGGCCGGAAGGTTTGGCCGATGTTCGTATACAAGACAATAAAGACGGGACTTACACTTGCTCTTACGTCCCGCCAACTGATGGAGCGTACAATGTTAACGTTCTATGGGGAGGACTCCCAGTCACTACAGATCCAATCAAAGTACATGTATCACCTGGTACCAATGCATTGGCCTGCCGTGCGTACGGGCCTGGAGTAGAAGGCATTGATCTTAAGGAAGGGACCAGTACTGAGTTTTTTGTTGAGACTACTGGAGCCGGGGAAGGAGAACTGAGTATTGATGTACGTGGACCTAAGGGACCACTGGACTCAGTTACTGTACAACAAGACACTGAGGATAAAGATCGCTATTGTGTACAATATGTACCTCCTACTCCATCTCAGTATATCATAGAAGTGAAATTTGCCAGGCTCCATATTAAAGACAGTCCGTTTAAAGTACGGGCAGTACCTGACAAACCCGACGCAACAAAGTGCTTTGCCGAAGGTCCTGGAGTGACAGACGAGCTCCAAGTCGATGAGGAGACCTGGTTCCGTGTTTACACTAAAGGAGCCGGACGAGGCGACCTTGTTGCTAATGCTCGGGGACTCCATGGAGAGGTTATCGTTTTATCAGAAGAAGTAGAACCGGGAGTAACACAGTACACCTACACTCCTAAAGAAAGCGGGGATCTAGTCATAACAGTCAAGTATGGTGGGTTCCACATTCAGGGCAGTCGATTCCGAGTACAAGTAAAACCTCCACCGAGACCAAACAAGTGCATAGCCTCAGGTCCTGGCCTAGCACCTAAAGGTGTCCGTGTAAACCAATCTACTAATTTCCATGTCAAAACCAAAGATGCTGGGAGTGGAAATGTCGATGTCTCTATAACTGGAGATGGCGATATTGAGCTACCATACAACCAATTACCAAGCAGTCAGGGTATTGACTATGCATATACTCCAGTTGATCCTGGTCAGTACACTGTTGATATAAAGTTTGCTGATCATGATATACCAGGCAGCCCGTTCCCAGTCTCCATTACAGATCCATCTAAAGTAGACATCACTGGGCCTGGGATTAATGGCGAGCCAATATTAGTGGGGGTCCCTCATAAATATAACATCATTTCTAAGGGGGCCGGGCCTGGTGATGTTGCTTGTCACGTTTCTGATTCTAAAAGTCTCCCTGAAGTGAGAGAGATTGATGCTGATAATTTTGAGATTCTTTACACTCCAAGCGGGACTGGTCCTAAAAAAATGAACGTGACTTTCAATGAGGCACCAATACCAAAAACCCCAATACGACTCAACGTCTATGATCCCTCTAAAGTCCTTGCTAAAGGCCCTGGTCTCGAGCCTGGTAATAAAACTGGAGACACGACTCATTTCAACGTCGATAAACGTAAAGCAGGAGAAGGTCAATTGGCCATTCAAATAAAAGGGCCGACAGAGCCGCCCCTGGTCATCAAAGATCAAGCTAATGATATAGTAAGCTGCGAGTACACACCTCAGGTTGAAGGTGATTATGCCGTTTCTGTATTACTTGAAGACTCTCATATACCTGGTAGCCCGTTTAACGTTTTTATTAAACAGAAAGCTAACCCATCACTAGTGATTGCTACTGGAGATGGTCTTAATGAGACTGGACTAACAACAGACACTGATGCAGAGTTTTTTGTCGACTACACTGCTGCTGGAGATGGTGAGCTACAAGTACACATTGAAGGCCCGGCGGGCGGAGTCGAATTCAATGAAGAAGAGATGGAGCCTGGGATCAACAAGTACACCTATCATACTGACCCGGATGAAAATGGCCGCTATGTCGTGCAGATAAAATTTGCCGAAGAAGACATACCAGACTCTCCGTTCACAGTCAATGTTAAATGGAAGCCAGACCCTTCTCGTGTTATTGCCGAAGGCTCTGGACTTGAGGGTGGAATCACAAAAGAACTTGCTGAGTTTACAGTCGACCTTCAAAAGGCCGGAGATGGTGAATTAGAAGCTCATATCGAAGGACCTTGCCCCGTGAAAATTAATGCGTTTGATTCCGAATCGAAACCAGTTGAAAAATGCCTGAACAACAATGGGAATTTTTACTTGTTTCAATACTTCCCGGAACTACCAGGCTCCTATACAATACCCATTTTGTTTAACAAAGCACACGTACCAGGGAGTCCCTTTAAAGCCGTGTTTGAACTCGGGACGGACCCTTCGAAATGTCTCGCTCACGGCCCGGGGCTCAGAGAACACGGAGTGAGGACCGGTGACCCAGGAAACTTTACGATTGATGCTACAATGGCAGGACCTGGGGCTGTGGACGCTATAGTCGAGATACCAGGAAGCATGCCAGTTCCTCCCATCATTACCAGTAATAATGATGGGACTTACAGCGTGCTTTATAACCCGCACAGGGTCGGGACTTATGAGATATGCGTGACCTTTGCTGATGTATCTATACCAGGCTCACCTTTCCTTGTCAATGTCACTGATCCAAGTAAAGTCTTATTACAAGGACCAGGGTGTAGTGGTGAAGGGCCGGCTCACCATCCAATGGGATCTCCTGTACTATGGGTAGCCAACACTCAGAAGGCTGGCCCTGGAGTATTTGAAGCTTTTGTGAGCCTCGAGGAATTGATAGACTATGATGAAGAGAGAGAAGAAGAGAAAGTTGTCATTACGGAAGATGGCCCAATGTACAACATTGAATTCAATCCGAGCAAGCCTGGCCCATACGTGCTTGTAGTCTCTTATTCTGGTAATAGAATAGACTTGGAGCCCGCCATTGAAGTGTTTGACTCTGAGAGAGTCCAAGTGTATGGGCCTGCTTTTGATGGAGTTGATCTTGGTGAGGATGCATTGTTTTATATTGATTGCTCAAAAGCTGGCAATGCACAGCTGGGGATTGAGTTATATGGACCTGCTAATGACTCACTTGAGCTACTGGAAGGAGAAGGGACAGGATTCAAACTAAATGCTTCTTCACCAGGCGTATACGAGGTTGACATCTCGTATGGTTCCAACCCTGTCCCCGGTAGCCCTTTCTCTATACCAGTTCGAGATATAACTAAAGTCGTCATTAGTGGTTCGGGGGTTACGGGAGAAGGGGCAAGAGTGGGCAAGCCTGCCTTTGTTAGTGTCGATACCAGCGACTCAGGACCCGCTCCTCTTGAAGTAAAGGTCACCTCTCCTTCTGGTGACTCTGAAATGGTTCAATTGGAAAAATCGAGCGATAACCAAGACCTTTATGAGGGCTCTTATACTCCTAAGGAGCCCGGCCATTACTGCATCGAAGTTGATTATAACGAGACTCCATTACCAGAGAGCCCATATCAAGCACCAATAGGAGCCCCTAATCAAGTGACCATTAACTGGCCTGAGCATTCATTTGTTGACATTGATAATATTGCCGTATGTCAGACAGAAAATGCTGGTCCTGGTGTAATTGAAGCTGTTATTAAAGGACCTGGCTCATCAACTTGGAGCGTGTCCCCATCAAGCAATGGGTCTGGACAGGTTCTTCATTATTCTCCGGATGCCCCAGGAATATATGAAGCAGAGATACTTTATAACGGGTTTCCTGTTCAAGAAAAACCGGTAGAATTTGAAGCTGTTAGTCTTAGCAATGTATCCGTATCAGGCCCAGGGATAAGATCAGGGATACTTGCCAGAGAAGAGACATATTTCAATGTTAACACTGAGAAGGCAGGAAAGGGGGATCTTGCAATAAGCATCAAGTCACCAGAGGGAGATCAGCTACCAGTGGGAGTAACTGATGAGACCCAATCCTCTCACAGAATCACTTACACGCCGGTGGTTGCTGGTGATCACGTCATTGTCGTGTCTTACAACGAAAGGGAAATTGAAGCCTCACCAATATGCGTATCTATTGCTGATCCTAATCAAGTAGTGTGTACTGGTGATGGTCTCAGTAGGGCTACAGTAGGAGAAGCTGCTCTCTTTAAGGCTGACGTGACTAGAGCTGGTAAAGGAGAGCTGAGAGTGAATGTGGATGGACCAGAACCTGTAGATGAAGTTGATTGCTCTGATAATCACGATGGGACCCACACTGTCTCTTATATTCCTACGAAACCAGGCGTCTATAGTGTAGACGTGAAGTATAATGACGTTTCCGTTGATTCTAGTCCCTTCACAGTTGAATGTCGCAGACCATCACCCGATGCTACTAAATGCATAGTTTCTGGCATAGAAAACCCAGGAGAGTTTACTGTTGATTGCAAAAACGCTGGAGGGAGCGGTCTTTTGGAAGTAGGCGTGTCTGGGTCTTATGTTCCAGTTGAGTTCGTGTCCGTGCGTCATAACGGTGACTATACTTTTGTTGTGTCTTATGATGTCAGCATTCCTGGGGAGACAACAATAAGCGTCAAGTGGCACAATCAGCACCTTGAAGGGAGTCCTTTTATAGTTTTCATATGATTAGAATTCCTTTGCAACTTTTAACAGATTGCTACTTATAAGAGTTTTGCTAATTAGCTTCTTTTACAAGTTTGTCTCTTTACATTAATTAGCTACTAAAGTTTTATGTTTTCTTTGATTTGATGAGAGTCTGTTTATCTTAGTGATAATTCATTTAAAGTATACTTAGTTTCTCATTATGTGCATGAGTGACGCAATTTATAGTTTAGTCAACCTTTGTGGGGTGATTCTGAAGAACAAATCAAATTGTGTTGTGTTTGGCGAAGTGTTTCTAGTAACAGTTCACCATTATTGATCAATCTGTACTTCCAATGCTCAATCAGTATTTGTGTTAGACTAACAGGAAACCACAAGCCCACTCATATCAGCATCCAACATTCCAATCCTGGAGCATGTAGTAGCATGGCAACCTAAAATCACAAATGAAAAACATTCACAGAATGCACTGTAAAAGCTTTGAATTTTTATAGCTTGCTATGAATTGTGTTAAGCGTACGCCAAGCGAGCTTTATACTGGTAAACATCCTCCACATGAGTATGATTGAGGCGGAATAAGTTATACATCTGTACTTCCAAGTTCCAATGATCAATCAGTATTTGTAACAGGAAACACAAGCCCACTCAAGTCAGCATCTAACATTCCAATCCTGGAGCTTGCAGTAGCATGGCAACCTAAAATCACAAATGAAAAACATTTAACAGAATTCCCTGTGAAAGCTTTGAATTTTTATAGCTTGCTATGAATTGTGTTAAGCGTACGCCAAGTGAGCTTTATACTGGTAAACATCCTCCACATGAATATGATTGAGGTTGAATAAGTTATGCGTGTGCATAGTTGATCTGCTACGGTTGCTAGTTTCTTCTTAATCTAATAAAAGTGATGCCAAGGCAACTTGTTATGTTTTACAACATGTAATTATCAAGCATTTTAATTGTTACAAGCTAGAGCAAATCATTCACTTTACCACTACAAATTACAGTTAGCGAGTATATTACGTACTATAAATGATTATTAGCATCTGCATTTATTTGTGAGGAATGAGGACTACTGCAAATTTTAATTCAGAGTAAGATGTGGACAAAAAAATTTCATCACTTTTGTATGATATAGAGTGCTTTATCCAATATGTACACCAGGTCAAACAGGTCTATTCCAAACACTCCTGATGATGGAAGTGTCCTTATTTCAGTGATTCACACATTTATATTGTATTGGAGCAAATTTGACTGCATAAAGTTATGTAACTCCAAGCATAGATCTATGCTCCAGGTATAATCATGCATACAGTAACATACTACTAGTAAATTCTAAGTAATGTGTGTCACACTCCTACAAACGATTTAGAGCAATTAAGTTTGATAGCTTATTTAGTGACCGAGACAAGGATACTGTTACTACAGCAACTACCCAAGGTGTGAAATCATTTAAAAGTTGTTAATTGCATGTGTAAAGTAACCCAAACATCTTCCATGGTAGTCTACTTCTCTAGTGTAACTTGATCTATTGCATTTGCACCAGAGTACTGATGGTAAAATCAGTTTGATTTATGCAAGCAATAAAGTAAAACTGATTTCAGTATTTGTCAAAGTATTTGTCAACTTGAGGAGATCGAATCTACAATACTTTTGTACTTTGAACTTGAAATTAAAAAACTATGAAGCAAGCTAGTAGGTTTAGATCTATATGCATTTTAAAGCACAACTTCGTATTACTATAGATACTATGTATAATAGTTAATTGGAGTAATTCTAAATGGTTAGCTAAGTATGTATGAATTCCTTGATGTCATGATTATACTTTCTTATGTCATGCACCACGCCCATGATGTGAATTTTTGGTATAAAAACTACAGCCTTCGTCAAAGGAAAGCTGCCATTTATTCTTCGTCTCTCTTTCAAGACAGGAGGATGGCATCTATTACTAGAGATAGAGGTCACAGCAAAACATGGTAAGTAATACTGACTTGGGCGCGCAGCATCATTGTGCATAAAAAACGACCAGCGCCTACTGCATTATGCTTGCATGCGGCATGCATGTGTATAGATATAATTCATGATAATTCTATTAGGGCGGAAAGGAGTGGGCCAATAGCCATATCTACAGATAGTCCATCTAGAGCCATTGCTAAATCACCTGAGGGAGAACCCCAAGATGACAGCTGGAAAGAAATCCAAAAGCAAGTTTTCACAAGGTGGTGCAACGAGAGGCTCAAAGTTGTCAACATTGAAATCGTTGCTCTTCCGGATGACTTCTGCGATGGCGTCAAGTTGATCAACCTCGTTCAGGTCCTTTCCAAAAAAACCGTCGGTCGTTTTTCGAAAAAGCCTCGCATTCATGCACAAAAGATGGAGAACGTGGAGCTAGCCCTGAGTCTCCTAACAAAGAAGGAAAAGATAAAGATTGTTAACATAGGTGAGTGAAGATAAGTGAGGGGGTGCTATTTTGTAGAATGCATACTGCTAATTAGCAAAATGTGGAATATGCATCCCCGCCTTGGTGCTTGAATATACATGTAGTGATTGAAGTTAGCTGGAACTACCTTAATATATGTTGGCATGCATGATATATATAATCAGGAGTAGGTAATTAATTGTGATTGGATAAACTGATTACATAAATAGCAGCTAAGCAAGAAATTATTAATAGTATGCTGCTTCTGGCATGCATGTCTGACCTAGTCTGGGCCTTTGCTTTATGTCTGACCATAACCACAATCATGAAAGGTATTCACACTTGATTTGTCATTGCTTTCCTATTTATAGGTAGTGGGGATATAGTTGAAGGGAACCTTAAGCTCACCCTTGGTTTGGTATGGACTCTTATCCTCCACTATCAGATCAGCATTGGGTTCGGAATCGACACAAGAAGGAGTGGGAGCATATCAGCCAAACAAGTGTTGATGGATTTCGTCCAAGTATGAGCAAGCACACATTGGCAGTTACTTTGTTAATTAAACTCGCTCGATTCCTGTAAAGCATTATGTAGTACAAAGCAAACTTTAAAATAAGCAGCCAAAATTTGGGCATTCTACTCTGAGAATATACTACTAACTACTAAGCTACTATTATAATATAGTCTAAGGTAAACATTATGATACAAAGATATATAAACAAACTATATGCCAATCTAAGTAGCCAAAGGGAAAGTGGCAGCTATTACAGTGCTGCACTGGGCTATTGGAATATCTTATTAATCCCTCAAGTAAATATCTTTTTAAGTAACTGGTATGACAAGCATTCATTTCACACCTGTAGTGTAGTGATAGTGCACTGCCAAGAGTATTGCATGCACGCCCACACCTAATAACTGTGTGTGTGTGTGTGTGGCTGAGATGAGTATCATAACAAGCTTGCTCTAGACATGCTGTATGTGTGGGGTAACTTTTGAACTTTGACTGTACGGTTTATGCACATTCCAATTAGACACAGCAGCTGCAGGTATGAATGTTTTTGTCAATTAAAAACTATGTGGAACTTTTTAAAAATAATAAATAATAGCATAGCTAATTTTAGGGTAATGAATAAGTAATAATGAATAAAGAGGTGGTCATAAATAGTTGTCTATTTTAAATTTAAGTTACGAGAGAGAATGAGTAAGTTTCAGGCTAGAGGAGGGTAGATGATTCCATTGACATAGCAGCTGCAACTATAAATACTTTTGTCAATTAAAAACTATGATGTAGTACAACGATAGTCCAAGCCTTTATACACTGGTAACATCTGTTTCAATCACAATGCTTTCAATTAATGTATTGCTCCCCATCTTTTATCATGATTTGTTTCTATAGGACATTATGCCTCATCAAAAGGTGACAAACTTTACCACTGACTGGAATGATGGACGACTAGTAGCTGGACTTGTTGATGGAACTGCTCCAGGTCTCTGTCCAGAAGCTTACACCATGACAGCAGATACTCCATTGGAGAATGCTAAACACGCTATGACGCTAGCAGAGGATTGGCTTGGAGTGCCAATGGTGGGTCAATGTTTTGTTTTGATATGAAATAATTTGATAATTTGTATTGTGTAAACTCTTAACCCACAAGTGTTAAACAAAACTTAACTTATAACTTATGCATGCTGGCACTGCTACATGTGCTTGTATTTTTGTGATGCAATACTAGAAATTCATTATGAAAGATACTTCATACTTAGAATAATACAGTGTACTTACTTTTTACTATACATTGAAGTCTTTTCGTTTATTTTTTGAGCTCGACTTACCAGTATATGTCAAACCAAAAATTTATGAGCTATAATAGTTTTGCCATATAAAAAATCTTTTTTCAATATAATTAAATTCTACAGTTATGATCATTTTTAAAATGAGTGAATTTTTGAAAGGCTATAGCCCGTGGCTTTTCCCTTAAAATGGCTCCAAAATCACCCCAAATTTTTATTACATTTTTAAATGTATACTGATGTTCTTATGCTATGTAGAAAGTTTGAGCCGATTCAGACAAATATTTTTCGAGTTATGAGCATTTTAATAAACGGGCCAATTTTTGAAAAATAGCCAAGGCTATAGCCCATGGTTTTCCCAAAAAATGGCTCAAAAATCACCCCAAATTTTTATCACATTTTTTGATGTATATTGATGTCCTTATGCTATGTAGAAAGTTTTTGAGCTGATTTCGACAAATATTTTTCGAGTTATGAACATTTTAATAAACAGTCCAATTTTTGAAAAATAGCCAAGGCCCCATGGTTTTTCCAAAAAATGGCTCAATAATCACTTCAAATTTTTATCACATTTTTTGATGTATATCAATGTCCTTATGCTACGTAGAAAGTTTGGGCCCCTTTCGACAAATATTTTTCGAGTTATGAGCATTTTTTAAAACGGGCCAATTTTTGAAAAATACCGAAGGCTATAGCCCATGGTTTTTTCCAAAAAATTGGCTCAAAATCACCCCAAATTTTTATTACATTTTTAAATGTATAATGATGTCCTTATGCTATGTAGAAAGTTTGAGCCAATTTCGACAAATATTTTTTGAGTTATGAGCATTTTAATAAACTGGCCAATTTTTGAAAAATACCCAAGGCTATAGCCCATGGTTTTTTCCAAAAATGGCTCAAAAATCACCCTAAACTTTTATTACATTTTCTGATGTATATTGATGTTCTTATGCTATGTAGAAAGTTTGAGCCGATTCCGACAAATATTTTTTGAGTTATGAGCATTTTAATAAACAGGCCAATTTTTTAAAAATACCCAAGGCTATAGCCCATGGTTTTTTCCAAAAAATGGCTCAAAAATCACTTCAAATTTTTATTACTTTTAAAATGTATATATTGATGTCCTTATGCTATGTAGAAAATTTGAGCTGATTCAGACAAATATTTTTTGAGTTATGAGCATTTTAATAAACTGGCCAATTTTTGAAAAATACCCAAGGCTATAGCCCATGGTTTTTTCCAGAAATGGCTCAAAAATTACCCTAAATTTTTATCACATTTTTTGATGTATATTGATGTCCTTATGCTTTGTAGAAAGTTTGAGCCGATTCCAACATATTTTTTGAGTTATGAGCATTTTTAAAAATGGGCCAATTTTTGAAAAATACCCAAGGCTATGCAAAAAATGACTCCAAAATCACCCCAAATTTTTATTACATTTTTTGATGTATAATGATGTCCTTATGCTATGTAGAAAGTTTGAGCTGATTCCGACAAATATTTTTTGAGTTATGAGCATTTTAATGAACAGGCCAATTTTTGAAAAATACCCAAGGCTATAGCTCATGGTTTTTTCCAAAAAATGGCTCAAAAATCACCCTAAATTTTTATCACATTTTTTGATGTATATTGATGTCCTTATGCTTTGTAGAAAGTTTGAGCCGATTCTGACATATTTTTTGAGTTATGAGCATTTTTAAAAATGGGCCAATTTTTGAAAAATACCCAAGGCTATAACCCATGGATTTTTGCAAAAAATGACTCCGAAATCATCCCAAATTTTTATTACATTTTTTTTGATGTATAATGATGTCCTTATGTTACTTAGAAAGTTTGAGCCAATTCCGACAAATATTTTTTGAGTTATGATCATTTTAATCCAATTTTTAAAAAGCATCGACTATAATGGCCTTCCTAATTGGTTCCAAAATCACACAAAATTTTTATGAAATTTTTTTTATGTATAATGATATGAAACAGCAAAATTTAAAGACTTTTCTGTCCTTTAGCTTTTGCTGCCAGAAAACATAGTCAATCCTCATGTTGACTCCCTTAGTGTCATCACTTACCTTGCTCAATTCTCAGAAGCTAAATTAGTAGAAGGTGCTCCAATACAAGAAGGAGGAGACCCATCCAAGGTCAAAGCCGATGGAGATGGTCTAATGTCGGAAGGGCTCTTTGCCTCTGAGGAACCTGTAGAGTTCACGGTCGACGTCAGCGAGGCTAAGCCTTTCGGGTCCCTTCGTGTGAGCATCATTGATCCAAATAACCTGGAGATTCGCCCTGAAGTCAAGTTTAATAACGATGTCTATACATATCGATACAGCCCCATTGAGTCTGGGGCTTACACCATTAGCATCAATTGGTGGGGGAAGCCCATTACTGGTAGCCCATTTACTGTAAACGTTGGACGGAGGATGGCCTTATCACCTCGTCACTCGGCCTCTGCTTCAACACGCTCTTCTCTGAGCTCAGCAGTTAGTGTCTATGGGTCTGGTGTAGAAGGAGGGAATCTAAGAGCTTGTGAACCAGCTGGGTTTTGGGTTGAAGGTGTTCCCAGTAACAGCACACTACAAATCAAAGTTGTTGGGCCACAAGGACAGCTTGGGTCAGAATATGTGACGGTACAAGGAGTGGCTAAGGGCTACTACTACGTCCTTTATTATCCGCTTGTCTCAGGGACTTACAAAATAACAACATGTATCTCTGGGAAAGATATTGGCCAGAGTCCTTACACAGTTAGTGTAGGCGAAAAGAGCTCCCTTGTACAGGGATGGGCAAGAGGGCCTGGCATTGATGGAACCAATATTGAAGTCAGCTCAAAGACCTGGTTTAACGTATTTGTACCTTCTGGATCCAGTCGTGACGTCATTGTCGAAATAGAAGGTCCCAAAGGAAAAGTCACGGCTACACAGGAGAAAGCAATCATGTCAGTTTTTAGGTATACTTACGTGCCAAAGCAGCAAGGCAGGTACAAGATAACAGTTATCATTGGTCCAAGGGGAAGGGCTATTACACTTTACTTTATTGTCATCGCTCCCTCATCAGTCACAAAAGGATCGTTTAAAGTGTGGGGGAAGGGAATAGCCCCAAGAGGTGTGCAAGCCCGACAAAAGGCTGAAGTGTACTTTCAACCAATAGCAGCAGATCAAGAAGTGGCGCTTGATATTAAAAGTGAAGATGGAGAGCAGGTTCCATTCTCTGAAAGCTCTGAAAATGGCATCACAACATTTACTTACATACCACCAATGGTCGGCTGCTACATCATCACATTCCTTAGCAATGGAGAACCTATTCACAGTACCCCATTCAAAGTTAATGTCACCGACGTTTCAAAGATCATTTTTACCGGGGAGAATATGGATGGCTCTGCTGTTCCTATCAAAAAGAAGCTAGTGTACAACGTTGATGCAAGGAAGGCTGGCTATGCCCAATTAGCCTGTCAAGTTGTATCTGTCAAGGATAGTCGAGTTACTTCGCTGTCGCCTAAAATACTTCAGAAAAAGGACAGCACGTATGAAATTGTTGTCCAACCCATTGTAATATGTGAAGAAGAGCTTTTGTTTACTTATGATGATGCACTTTTGACTCAAAATCCAATCAGAATCAATGCGGTTGACGTTTCACAGATCAAAGTGTACGGGCGTGGTATTCAAAAGGGCAATGTAGCCATGAAGTCAACCTCATTTAAAGTAGACTTAAACAAAGCTGGTTCTGGTAAACTGGTAGTTGTAGTCACAGGCCCAGTGGATCCTACTGTAGACGTCACTCCAACCTCTGAAAACTTTGTCTTTAATTGCGAATACACTCCAACTGAACCTGGAGAATATAGCGCCACAGTGACATTTGCTGGATTTGAAACAAAAGGCTCACCGTACAAATTTGAAGTGCTTCCAGCTGGAGGCAATGCAGCAAGCAGTAGAATTGCTATGTACGGTCCAGCAGTGGAGGGTCCACTTACAGTAGGTACTCCAGGAGAGTTCTTTATAGCTCTAGGCCCAGGGAATATGAAGAGTGCTAATGTAAGTGTTAAAGGACCAGAGGGAGAAGAAAAGGTTAAGCAAGAGCCCATAAAGGAGAAAGAAGTCGTTCAATACAGTTTCCCCGTTTTCCAACCAGGACCATATTTCATATCAGCTGATTTCAATGGAACACCAGTAGAAGGCTCTCCTTTCGAAACAAAATCAGAGTTTCCAGACAACCTTCCAAAAGTTTCAGTTTCTGGTAAAGGGCTCAGACAAGCAATTGTGAACGATTGGGCTGAATTTGAAATAGATAGTCAAGCAGAAGGATCAGGTTCCCTTGATGTCACTGTCAATGGACCTTCAGGAGCAGAAACTAAAATGGAAGGAAAGGGAAATGGTAAAGTAGCAGTGAAATACCGACCAACATCCACTGGTGAACATCAAATTAATGTACTATTTAACAACCAAGCAATACCTGGTAGTCCTTTCCCTATTGCCGTTGAAGCAAAAACAGAAGTTATAAAACTAGAGCCTACTGGTGTCAGTCTAGGATCTGACTTCACTTACAGCATTGATACGTCTAAAGCAACCAAACCAGTTTCAGTAACTGGTAAAGTTCTGGGTCCTTTCACAAAAGGTACTGTACCAGAAGCACTCAAATCGAAAGCAATAACTGTCAAAAGTTTCTCCAGAGTTGCTGGCAATTTAGTTGTCACAAATCCTAAGGTCTCAGAAAAGAACAAAATTTACACAGTAGCATTCACACCAAGAAAAGTTGGAGTATATCTCATCTATGTGTTTGCTGGTGATAGACTGGTTGACAAGATGCCTTATGAAGTTTACGTCTGTGATCCATCAAAGATTAAAGTCAAAGGGCCTGGTCTTGGTAAGAACAAAAACGAGAACTCTCACATAGACAAACCATTGATGTGGGAAGCTGACTGCACTCAAGCTGGTCCTGGCACATTCGCTGCTTATGTTGGAGGACCTGATAATTGCACAAAAGATGTCACAGTAGAACCAGCCTCATCACCAGATCAATACAGCATCAGTTACACACCAAATGTACCTGGAGGCTATCAACTATTGTTTGCATATTCTGGATTTCAAACATCAGATAAGCCGACCATAATGATCAGTGATCCTTCTAAAGCACAAATGGGAGATAAAGGAGACAGAGTGTGTTTAGTTAATGAGAAAGTCTCTTTTCCTCTTGACTTAAGTGCTGCTGGAGCTGGTAAATTACAAGCTTCT